ATATTCAAACTTGGGGGGAGACGCTACGGCCGCCGTTTTGGTTGACCTGTGCTTGCACATGATTGTTAAGAAGAGAAAAAACTTCCTTGGCAGTACATATCCCTTTTTTTGCTGGTGTCCATCTCAGTGTGTCATCGCTGGTTGATGGGACCACCGGTGTCATAGTGATGCAGTTGGTTGCTTGATCATCGAAAATCCTGAAAATAAGATTCTTGTCCCAAGTCTAGGTTTGAGGAACCCAAAGATCAGAAATCTTTTCAGGTAATTTCGGAAGTGTAACAGGTAAGTTAATATGATCATGAATGGAATCCCATATACCGCACCATGGAGTTGACCAAATGCTGGAATTACCATTGTGAATTTAAATAACACAATGTTGATGAAGAACCTGTTTAATTTGCATAATAGAGGACCAGAAAATGGATTTGGTGGAACTATTGGTAGCAAGACCAGAAGGAGCTGTTCGGGAAATACTTAGCCTTAAGAATTAAACTAAGGAAGTTGTTTTTAGCAGTTACAATATTCCAGGCAGTGTTAATGATCAGACTTTTGTTGATTTTAAAAATGTCTCTTATTCCTAAACCACCCTCTTTAGGTTTGCAAATGTCATCCCAGGAGCGAAAGTGAAAGGGATTAGTGGTATTTTCTTCATGAACTCCCGCCCACCAAAACTTTCTAATAATGGAAGTGATTTTAGAGATAAAAGTTTTAGAAAAGAGAACCATGGACATATAATAAACGGGGATGGAGCATAGAACAGAGTTAATGTAAACTAAAAGACCTGCATGATTAAGTTTGTTAGCCTTAATGATTGTTAGTTTAGCTCTGAACTTAGCAAGAATAAAATTGTAAGCCTTATTCCGATCACTGTGATTGAAAATGAGTGGATGACCCAAATAGATAGAGTTAGGGGCAAGGTCATTAACAGGAAAAACAGCCCTAACCTCATTTTTATTTTCATCGTCAACATTTCTGCTAAAAAGAATGTGAGACTTAGCTAGATTAGGCGTTTGGCCAGAGGCATTACAGAAAGTTTGAAGAATGGAGTTAATCTTATTTGCCTCAGTAGCATTAGCTTGACCACAGATAATTAAGTCATCAGCAAAAAGTAAAGAATGAATTCTAGGACAATTAGGGCCTAACATAACGCCATTGATATTATTGTGCTCCATGTTATTTTGCGGAGTAATGGATAATTCATTCACAGCCAAAACAAATAAATAAGGTGAGAGTGGGCAACCTTGTCTAATACCCCTTTGGGGATGAAAAGAAGCACTAGGTTCGCCATTAATAATGACAGCAAGATTAGTAGTTGAAATGCACTGATAAACTAAATTGATAAAATAATTATCAAAACCCTGTCTTTTCATAGCATTAATAATGAAATGCCATTCAATTCGATCAAAAGCCTTAGCTAAGTCAAGTTTAAGGAGAAAAGCTTTTTGGTTCCGAGATTTAAGACTGAAAAGTGAACAATCTCTTGGGCAATAATGATATTGGAAGCAATGTGCCTACCATGAACAAAAGCAGTTTGTGAAGGATGAATAATCTGAGGAAGATGGTTTTTAATTCTGTCAGCCAGAGACTTAGCAATTATTTTATAGCTCACATTGCACAGGCTAATTGGTCTAAAATCCCTGGGAGTAGTAGGGCAGTTATTTTTGGGGATAAAACAATATAAGTGGTATTGATTGATGTAGGTAAATTACCTGTGTTATAAAAAGAGGTGACTAAATCATGAACATCCTTACCTGTCCAGGACCATGAAGATTCGTAGAACACGGCATTTAATCCATCAGGTCCAGGAGCAGCATTACTACGCATATTTTTAACTATGTTGTGAAGCTCCTGCAAATCTGGTGTTGAGTTAGTGAAACCATCAGTAGCTATTACCTGATACTCATTTGATTCAGCTTGAGCTTCTTCAGAGGAATCTGTATTGGTGTTGTGATGTTGACTGGTGAAGATCTCCTTGAAGTAATCTGTGGCAGTCTGGGCTAATTGCTGCTGAGTAGTAGAATAAGAACCATCAGGGTTCTGAAAATGAGTGATGGTATTCCTTCTTGCCCTCTTGATGATTGACTGATGAAAGAAAGAGGTGTTCCTATCACTAGAAAGCGTCCAGTTTTTCTTATATCTTTGGCGATGGAAGGCTTCCTGCTTGGCGAGAATAGTATGGTGCTGGAAAATAAGCTCTTTTTGGACAGAGTGGTTCTGTTGGTTAGGTGGCCTGGTTTGTTGCTGTAAAAGTTGATTTTCAATGGTGTCAAGTTGATCAGCAAGGTTCGTTTTGGATCTGCGCCAAGCTTTTAAATCAGAAGCAAGGAAAGAAACTTTTTGGTGGAAGGGTCTATGGATGGATTTGGACCAACTTTTCTTGGCAATCTAATCAAAATCTTTCTCAAGGAGCCACCAATTCTCAAATCGGAAAGGTTTCTTTGGTTTGGGTCGTTTGGAATCAAGCACAGCAAGAATTGGAGCGTGATCGCTTTTCTTCATTGGAAGGTGATATACCGTGGTCGTGGGGAAGGCCGAATACCAATCTGCATTGCCAAGACATCTATCCAAACGCTTATAAGTGGGATTAGTATTAAACCGTTTGTTAGTCCAGGTATAAGCCGGCCCATTGTAACCAAGATCAAACAAACCACAGTCTTTTATCAAGCAACAAAAGTCTGATATTCTTTTAACATTAGCTGGACTAGGACCCATTTTATCATTAACATTCATGATATTATTAAGGTCTCCCATGCATAGGATAGGCAAGTTCGAATAAGTTTGAACAAAAGATTTAACCTGAGCCCACATGCTAGCTGTTTTTTAGTGGTGTGGATCACCGTATACACAAACTAGACCAAACTTTTTCATGCATTGTTTATATTCACACAAAGTAATGAAAAAGTGCTGACTAACAAATAAAACATCTACATCTATATCCTGCTTTATGAGGAGCCAAAGGCCACCAGACTAACCTTCAGGTGGAACAATATGAGCTTTGTGAACATTGAAATGGTTTATTAAAGCAGTAGATGTTACCTTGGAATTTCTGGTTTCATATATAAATATTACCTGCGCATTTATGGTTGCAATAAGACAGGTGAGGTGGAGCATTTTGGGACTACCGAGGGTCGCGCAGGGTTTAGGGCACATACAACGCTGTTTAATGAGCCGTCTGTATGGCAAAACATTTGTAAGTGCGTGTTTAGTTCCAAAAGAAGTTCCAGAAAAGTGCTACAGTATCTATCACATCGAATCTTGCGATACATATATGGAGCATTAAATGTAGATGAAAAAAAAAACTAATTACACAGTTTGGTGGAAAATTACGAGACGAACGTTTTGAACCTAATTAGTCCATGATTGAACACTATTTACCAAATAAAAACGAAAATACTACGGTATCCAAATTCCAACTTTCTCTCTAAATAAACACAGCCTAAAAAGCCCCTTCACGCGCAACAGCCGAGGAAGGGTCGTCGTCTCACGAGTCGACGGCTCCGGCCCGTGCTCCCAGAAATCGACCTGCCAGAGTTGATCCCGTGTGCATGCTACGACCGCAAAAGCCCCTTCACGCGCAACAGCCGAGACATTGTGTAATTCTATTTTCAGTTACTTGTATGTTTACTTGATTTTGATTGTGGTCAGTTACCTGATAACGGAATGCTCGTCATCAGGCTCATTTTCAGTTACTTGCATGTCCGCATAGTGTCACCTGTCTGCATGTCATCAGGCTCATTTTAAGTTAACTGAATGCTTGATTGCTTGCCATCAAGCTCATTTTCAGTTACGTGATAACAGTGTGTTATATTTGATCTATGAAATATATTATATTACATTATATATATAATATATGATTTACTTTGAAGGATTTGTTTTGCATCAATTAGAAATACAATGGTACATAGAAATGATATTCATGATTGATCATAACTACATGTAAGCATTAAACGATTTGTAGACAGCCAAACAAACAGCAGCTGTCTGTAGATTGTATGAGCTGTCTGTTTAGCCGTCTGTGTTGTAAATTCCAACAACTTATGTCGGTTGTACATGCCCTTAGGCGTCACCACCCCACCGGCCGCTGGCTGGACTACTAAGCGGGTGGTCTAGACGGTGAAGAAGTTTCACTGCAATACCGTGACGACTTCGTTATTATTACACACAGAAAATCGAGGCCGTCACATGCAGGCCGAAACCCCATCTGTAGCTTCAGTTAAAACTGCTCACTGCTCATTGATGACGGACTATCAGGGCTTATTGTAATCGTGGGTCGTGGTCGTGGCCGAGGCCGACTCACTGAAATACCTACGGAACGTACGTCTAGTACGCGGCTTGGAACTATTTCTCGGCGACGTCCTTCATGTGCATGCACAGTCAGCACTAGATCAATGAGCAAGTAGGAGTATCGTGGGAATTGAACGCACGCACTGGTACTGCACAAATTATAATCAATCAATGCAAAGCAATCAACTTTCGGGGGACAAAAAAAAATTCAAAGTAATAAAAAAAAACACGACTTGAATCGCTCAACGTCAACGGCTCAACAATCTCCGAGCAGCACAGACAGACAGACTGGGCCATGGGAGAGCTTTCGTGGCACACGACGACGAACCCCGAAAGTCACGGTCTCAGTCTCAGCGCAAGCTGCTTAGACACGGTTCTGTACGTACTAGGCAGCGGAAGCGCTGGCAGTGTCCAAGTCCAAACGCCCGTCTCGTATTACCACTGACTCGTCGTGTCTTGGCGGACATTTTGTACGTAATTAATATATAATATATAATCAACCTTGAGTTGATTGACTCCCGAGTCAACAGCGACGGCGACTGGCGCGCTGCTGCTGTGAGCTCTGTTTCTGTCTGATCCCGATCGCCCTCTGCTTCTAGTCCTGCTGCAGAGCAGAGGAACACATGCATGGAGCCATGGACGGCAGCTACCTATCTAGGACTAGGAGAACTAGCCTGTCAGGTTTCTTTTCTGTTATACAACGATCGTTATTATGGTTAATGGTAACATGTTGCTATCGCCTGGTAATGGAGGCTCTCCTGCCGCATCTTCCTCCTCTGGCTCTTGATGAACTCCTCGAACGTCCTGTCGTCCGCTAGTTCCATCTCCATTTCCATTCCCGCCGTCTGGTCGTCCATGCGCTTCGCGTCGTCGGCAGCGATCGCCGTGGGATGCTCAAGTGGTTCGACAACAGCATCGCGATCATGGCGATCGAGCAGGTCGTCGTCGTCATCCCTGGCCGACTCCACGACGACGATCTGCTTGGTGGCCACGGCGGCGGCCTCTTCCCCCTGTGCTGCTGCTGGACTCCTGGTGGCGCGGGGCCGAGCCGGAGCGGCGGTTGCCTCGCCCGGCCGGCTGCGGCTGCGACGGCTGGCAGGCGCGCCGAGGACCCCGGCGTCCCTGAGGATGAGGAGGAGGATGGCGTGGCAGAGCAGGATCATGTTCCTGCGCGTCGCCAGCTCCAGCAGGCCGCCACGCCCGTCGAGGAAGCGGTCCAGCGCGGAGGCCAGGAGGTCGGCGGTGAGGCCCAGGCCCGGTGGCGGTGCCTGGAGGAGGAGGAAGAGAAAGACGACGGCGGAGAAGGAGAAGAGCAGCGCCGCCGCCGCCACGGCCCTGGTGCCAGAGCTCGCCATGATATGGCCGGCGACGTAGTCAGTTGTGAAGCTGAGCACACAGTAGAGCTGGGCGAGGCCGTGGAGACCGGGCACAATGCACGCTTTCGATCGGCGAGGTGGACGGACCTGGCTGCTCCACACTTGTCCCCTTTATATATGCACACAGGTGCGCGGGCGCGGAGGCATGGCCGGTGGCCCGGAACGACTCGGACTCTCGGAGTAAACGGACGGGCCCTGCTGTGCCGAGGACTGACCTAGACCTTGACGCCATTATCATTGTTGATTATAGTGATGAGGCCGAGTGCGCAGTTGAGGTGACCGCGTCCACACACAACAGGAACCATTCCGCGTACATTCAGTTGAGATCTGAGACACTTGAGAGCTGCAGCAGGCCGAAGGCATTCTGAGTGAGACACTATGTCCATGTCATACAAAAAGAAAAGGTTTAATTGACGAATAAAACAAGAGAGAATTACCTATAAGCTCCTATGAAACTCACTTATACCTTATATATAGCTCTTCTGTGAAGAATATTCATTAAAAACATGGGTCATCCCTGCCAGAATGACGTGGAGATGATCAAAATACCCCTATGTCTAAAACAACCGGGAGAAGGAGAGATCCGGTCGGTCTCGTTCCTATCTTCTTCCTCTCGAGCTTTCTCAGTATCTCCCTCGAAACCCTAGATCGTGCGAAGCCGGCGGCCGTTGTAGTGTCCAGAGGCAAGGCGGAGACGCGATGTAAGAATCTAAAATCCTGAAAATACTAACGGGGTGCCACGAAATAAGAATCTAAAATCCTGAAGTTGGGTTACGACGTAAGAATTCGGAATGTCTTCCGAGACCGGAATTCCGAAAATGCTGATAGTGCATCATCCAAAGTCCAGGAGTGGATGAGGAGAGAGGCCAGTTGCCGACGAAGTTTGCTTTGTCGAGTGAGGACCACAAGTTTCAAAATGCCAGGGCCTTCCTGCTTCGAAATGGCCTTGGCTTCGTATTAGAAGAGCCTGGCTTCTCTTTTTGCTTGTAACTGGATGTCTGCTCTTCTGGAGATATATGAAACCAATGTGCTTCCTCATGAAAACAAGTGATATGAAAGGAGCATGTAGTCCTTAGCTTACTGAAATATTTGTGTAATATATAAACAAGACTGCGTAGAGACCCAGTTATCTGAGTGTGTCTATGATGAGCCTGTGTACGGGAGGTCAAAATTGCTGGAGAACAAAGTGATCAGTGCGCTATTGGTGACTTATTAGAAAATATAAGATTGTTTGTCAACATTTGGATGGGAATTTTGTCTTGATAAAGGTGAACCATTTCGCATCTGAACAACTGTAAGGTTAGTGACCGCGGGATGCAAGTTGCAAATAATACTATATAGCAACGAAAAGCAACAAGGTGCAGGATTTGAATTAACGGAATTTGGAGAATTGTGAAAAGTCTCGTCTTTTGCTGACTGTCATCGCACCTGATGCCGGTGCTCTTGAAATAGGAAATCAGGGTTAAAGCAAGCGGTGTATAAGTTTTATTTGACGAGTCATTTGGTAATATGGCTGTGAAATTGAAGCATATGGACCAGAATAGAGTGCACCAGAGTGTTCTACTGACTATTCTCAAGATTTTGATGTCCTGAAATGAACTAGACACGAAACAGTACTTGACAAGATGAAATTTAAAACGGATCGACTAGCATCCCAAGTGAAGAATGCTAGTATGTAACTGCAAACCTCATTTTGGTGTTTAACCATAGGCCTGGCTTAACTCTGCGAACTGGTGAGCGGATAAGCCAATAAGGAAAAGAAAAGAAAAGAGAACGAGCTGTTAAGGAGGGAGCAAAGCACTATCTGCGCTTTATGCTGCCTTCGGCTTCGGAACCAGCCACCACCTATCTTCGGGTAAATATGCGCTGCCCCTTTAAATCTTTTTGCAAGGAATCTTTAGAAGGATGGTAATTATCACCAACAAGGCAACAACTTATGAAAGCCCCTTTCAAAATGTACTGTATGGATGAAAACACCATTCGTTGGAACTAGCCAGGGCCTGAAACCAAAAGAGCACCAGAACTTCGGCGACTGCCGAAGGGTGTTTAACAAGAAAGTTGGACAATCACTATGGGAGACGCGCTCTTTGCCGAGTGCTTGGCGCTTTGCCGAGTGTCGAAACACGGGCACTCGGCAAAAAGGCAGTTTGCCGAGTGCCGCATTCGGCAAAGTCAGCACTCGGCAAAGGCCGTCTTTGCCGAGTGTCAAACACTCGGCAAAGAGGGACACTCGGCAAACGTCCTCTTTGCCGAGTGTCAGGCACTCGGCAAAGAAGAATCCTCGGCAAAATACCTCAGGCGACGCCAGTGGCCTCTCCGTCATCCTTTGCCGAGTGCTGGCCGTTAGCACTCGGCAAACGTGCTGTCTTTGTCGAGTGTCTGGCCTGGCACTCGGCAAAGAGGTTCATTTGCCGAGTGCCAATTCCGACACTCGGCAAAGTATTTTTATTTTTCTTATTTTTGTTTTTAAACTTTTTCTGTGGCATTTATACAGTAACCTTGAAGCATATGTTCAATTTGGAACTTTTCTATAACTTTTTGGTATATTTTTAAATTTTTTATGTTTACTTGAATTTTTCTCGAAAAAGTAAATTTGAACTGCAGGTGCATGAAATATTAGAATTCAGCGATTCAAAAAATGGTATTCATGTTTTTGAGTATATTTTGAGGCCGTGTGTAGGGACATTCATGAAATTTCGAACATCTGTTTCACGAAACATGACCACCAACTTGTTAAAAAAGTGTTTTTTAATTATATAAAATGCAAACGAAGTCCGAAAATCACGAAACTTGTCGAGGTGTCGTGTCTCTGTCTGGGTTTTAGGCATCGTACGTCACAACTTGCTCGAAAACTTCTAAATTTTTTTACCACAGCCTCTACATGTGATGACACGACACCTCGACAAGTTTCGTGATTTTCGGACTTCGTTTGCATTTTATATAATTAAAAACACTTTTTAACAAGTTGGTGGTCATGTTTCATGAAACAGATGTTCGAAATTTCACGAATGTCCCTGCACACGGCCTCAAAATACACTCAAAAACATGAATACCATTTTTTGAATCGATGAATTCAAATATTTCATGCACCTGCAGTTCAAATTTACTTTTTTGAGAAAAATTCAAGTAAACATAAAAAATTTAAAAAATATACCAAAAAGTCATAGAAAAGTTCCAAATTGAAACATGTGCTTCAAGGTACTGTATAAATGCCACAGAAAAATTTGAAAACAAAAAAAAAAAAAATAAAAATACTTTGCCGAGTGTCGGAATTGGCACTCGGCAAAGGAACCTCTTTGTCAAGTGCTAGGCTTGCAGCACTCGGCAAAGAATATTCAGAATTTTTTTCTCATCTTTCGGATTAAAAGAAACCCCCCTGAATTTCTTTGTCGAGTGCCCGCATCTTGGCACTCGGCAAAGGGCCGCCCCACTTAACCCTAGCGGGCCGGTCGGCCCCCTCCACTCTCCTCTCTCCACACGCGCCCTGCCCCCCTGCCGCCCATGGACCACCCAGCCATGGGACCTCCACCACGGTCGGCCCGTGCAGGTCTGCCTCCGCCCCGGCCGGTGGGTGCGCCGCCGCCCCGCCCGCCGCCCGAGCCGACCTCCGGGTGACCGACCCCGCCCAGCCCCGCTCCGCCTTGTGGATGCGGACCCACCGGTGATGCCTTGCCCTGTTGCCCTCACTGAATCACCAAGTGGAGGAGAGGAGGAGCAGGGGAGTAGAGGAGAGAAGGGAGGTGGAGGAGAGGAGAAGGGAGAAGGAGAAGGGATGAGGAAGGAGAAGGGAGGAGGAGGAGCCTCAGCCGCCGGCCACGCCCCTCGCCATTCGTCCCTGCCGTCGTCCCCGCCCCTCGCTGGAGACGAAGGTGACCCCGGCACCGCGTCGCCCGACTCCACCGCCACCCAAGGTATAAAGCCTCCCCTATTGTCGGCCTTCGTGTCTTGTATGTCATTGACGACCTTCGTGCCGTATGTGGATGTGTGGGCCTTCGTGCCGTACGTGGATGTGTGGGCCTTCGTACCATATATATGCTGTCGGCCATCGTGCTGGCTTTTTTCTTGCAGGTTTTGGAAACCTCCCCGTACAGGGGAGGTTCTGCCGAAATTTTTAACTTATAGTATTATAATTCTTCTTTTGCAGAGCAGGACACGTTGGAGGGGACCTGGAGTACGTAAGCGACCCGATCGTCTTCGTCGGCGCTGCGGTCCTGCCTACACAGCGTCGCCTCGCCACTGCCCCGCTAGCCTGACTCCACCGCCACCCTAGGTATAAATAACCTCTCTTCCTTATCATTGTCGTAGATCGGTGTAACCCAGTTAGGCGTCTCCCATTCGAAACAGATACAGTTGGAGGTATGCGGATCTTCGCATATCTAAGACCGTATCTGTTTCAGATTGTCCACTTTTTTGGACAGCCCGTGGATGCGTAGATGGGGTAGTTTCCATGTTCTGCTTCGATCCGAGATAGAGTTTCGGCACCACCTCCCTGTTGTTCTCCGGATACACACTCTCCCTTCCAGGTCGTGTATCGGGAGAACAGTGGGGAGGTGCTGCCGAAATTCTGTCTCGGATCGGAGTAGAGCATGTAAACTAACCTCATCTACGCATCCGTGGGTGGGATTCGGACCTATCCTCACCCATTAGATAGTAGGCACGCTGTTCAGATGCAATTGGTGGTTATATTACTCGCTCATGTATATGCTAGAGGATGGATAACCGTGAGTGGATGTACACGGGCCGCCCAAGTCAGGCTAAAATCACCCCTGAATGGATGGACAAGACCGAGGGTTTCTTGAACCAAGCATTTGGCAAGGCAGCTAATGGAGCGAGCGACACATTCTGTCCCTGTAGCGAATGCGGAAACAGGAAAAGAAAAACAAGGAAGATCATGGGGGAACATCTTTGCAAGTATGGATTTACGCCAAACTATACCCGGTGGGTGTTCCATGGTGAAGCCCATCGTACTAGAGAGGAGG